TATGATTCTATGATTCTATGATTTAAAGTTTTTCAGCTTTAATTTGCGAAGTTAAAAATAAGGCACCAGTTCAATTTTATTTTAATCTGATGTTGTCCCTTTTTTTCTGCAAAGATTTTACCTGTCATTAAAAATAGGGAAGATCAAATACTGATTCCTAAATCTCTTTTCCCTCCTTGTACATGAGGAAAACTTTCTTACCTTGAGAGCCTCACATTTTTATTCCTGCTTACATGCTTTTCTTTTTACAATGCATGTAATAATGCACACTTCTTCCCCACCCCCCCCCAAAAAAAAAAGACATCTTATGCTACTTCTCACATCTTTTGGCCCGTCTTGGCCCCTCTTATAGCCTAAGTGGTGTGTATAGGCCAAGATTATTATTGGTCATCACAATGTGTCATCCTGCATGTTACAGGAAAAGGTTTGTATGCTCCTTCCATTGAGTTCTAGCATATCGTGGGAAAAATAGTGACTCATTAGTCACTAGTGACTCTATGATTAATATAAAAGCTCTCACTTTAATAGAGTTAGGATGTTTTTTTTTACCTAGGCTTCTCCTCACATCTTGAATTAAGTTGTAAGCAGGAGACAGAGGAGATAACACCCAAAGCATGAGTAAGTGCTGACTCTTCCATGTTGGGTGTGAGTTTTGTGGCAAGTGGTTGCTATTTTTGCATTAGCCTCCTTTGTATTAACACAGTCTTCCTCATGTGAATCTTAAACTGCACACCCAGAAGTTACTGCAGCCTGTGGATGTTTAGCCCACAGCTTTTGCATTGGGATCTTCCCTAAGGCCACTGGGGGAAGACTCTCCTGTTCCTCCCTTGCCTGTGGCAGTTCACAGTAGGTACTCTGTCTTTCTTGCCTCCTGATTGAAATATTATATTATCTTTATTACTTAATGGTAAACTGGCAACTAACACCATTTCCATACTCTCTGTGTGTATGAACCCCATTGTATCAACCAGAGAAATTTATATTGCATTATAGACATGGGGAGGGAATCACTTTCTGCAGAAAGGCCACAACAGGACACATTCAACCATCTGGAGAACTCTCATCTCTAGTCCAACACAGTCAGGATTACAGTTACTAAGAAAAGATCAGGAAGCAAGGATAAGTTGATCTCTGTGAAATAGAAAGACTGTTTTCCACTTTCCTCTAAGTTATTTAAAACTATTTGAGGTTCATTACTTAGAGCACTTTCTAAACATTTCTGTGATCTGTGTTGATGGATCTAACTGTGATCAAGCTGTTGCATTAGAGTGCTGGTCTCTGAGACCAGCTCAGAGACTTGGGTATGCCCTGGTGTTGCAGAACTGAGTTTGTTCTGTGGGCAGGATGAGTATGTTCAGAGCCAGGCATGTAAGGTGTGAAAGGAATAGGGGAGTGGGATGATGGTTTTTTTTTTTCTGTTTGTTTGGCTAAGGTTTTTCATAAGCTAAGTTTTTTTCTTAAACTTTTCATAAGTTTTTCAGTGAGGTAATTTTTTAGCAAATTTCTTTTCTGTGTTAATACCAGAGGCAAAGTGAAGAAAGAATCTGCTTCGGTGATTAATCACAGAAAGGTGTTGGTTTTTTTTTCCTTTGTAACTGGTGATCAAAGAATCTGAAAAACAGACATGTCTCCTCCTTGATGTCTTTACACCCAGAAAACATGTCTTGATAGAACGAAAGCTCAGGGGATGGGAGAGTGTCTTCTGGCTTATGCTGTTTAATAACATTACAATTAGACTCTGCCTGTTTAATTAGTGTTTCAACATCACTGTTTGATTCTAACTACTAGTTCTCATAGTCAATTGATACAGTAAAGTCAACCACTAGTTCCAGTATTGCATGGACGTTTGAATTGTTAATTACTGGTTATAAATTTTGTCTTAATTTACTCCCTAAAAATAGGTTGAATCCTGAAAGGTTTCTTTCCCACAGTCTCAATTTCAGGTAGTTGACATTTATACTGAGGAATATATTGCTTACTTAGATACGTAGTTCTTCAGTCTTTATGCCTTGTCTTAGTGATGCATATTGTTTAATGGAACTCTGCAAAGCAGCAAAGGCCTAGTTCTGTGTCGGTTTCTGGAGTTCTTGTTTGTTTGTTTCCCTATGTTTTATTATTTTTGGTGTGTATTCTGATTTTTGCTGGTTGCTATTTTGTTGAAGGGATTTTTTTTTCCTTTGAATTCTTTTGTTAAAACACCTTTTTCTTATGTAATTGTTTAGGGTGAGTGATGAAAAAGATGCTCGAGGTTATCTTCAAGCCTTGGCCTCTAAAATGACAGAAGAACTAGAGGCCCTGAGGAACTCCAGTTTGGGTGCAAGAGCGACAGTAAGACTCCACTTCCATATGTCAGAACTGGTTTTCTTTGAAAAACACAATTGGATAATTTCAGCTGCAGTCTGTAGAGTGTGTTAGTCAAAAATTCAACTTTCCTAGAGGTTCCCTTCTGAATAGGAAATTCACTGTTCATTAATCAAGTAAATCAGTATCTTTAGAAAGTATTTTTATCTGTGATGTTGTTCAACTAGCTACTTTATAGTTACATATCAATTTGCTGAAGCATATATATACTTAGGGTCATGAAAGCCTTAAAGTCTTTTGTTTGTGAAATGTGAATGTCCTTTATAGGTGCCACTTGAATTGAGGCACATCAAAACTAGAATTCACCAGATGTCTTTACTTTTGAGATTACTACAGCATAAGACATTCATCTGGCCTATTTAGTACCTGAGTTTAAAAACAGTAATGCTAATAACAATCCTCTTTCGGTTTTTAATTTTTAGATTACTTTGGAATGAATGAACTCTTACATTAAGAATGTTACAGACTGCGAAATGTAATTGTTGAAGTTAGTTCCATTCCTCATTTCCAGCTTTCTTTCCTCTTACTGTTTCTCCTCCCACTTTTTGATTCCTCACTAGGACATGCCCTGGAAGATGCGCCGCTTTGCAAAACTGGATATGTCTGCGAGGCTGGAGCTGCAATCTGCTCTTGATGCTGAAATCCGAGCCAAACAAGCTATTCAAGATGAGCTGAATAAAGTCAAAGCTTCCTGTATCTCTACAGAGTGGTAAGACTGAATTGTTCTGATGGAAATTTACTTTTGATACCTCCCAGTGAGTGTCATCAGACATGATTTTAATTACCTTGTCTGTCCAAATTTGATAATGATATGATATGATTTGATTTGATATGCCAGTTTCTTATATCCAAATGTGAAAAAAGACTCTGTCTCCGTTGTTTAAGCAGCTAAACACTTACTGGGAAAATTTCAAATATTTAAGACTTTTTGAGGGAACACTTTAATACAATCTCTCATAGTTGTGAAAACAAGTTCAAATGCAAGCAGAGTTTGGGTCCCCAGCTTCAGCCTAGCTCAGAGCACTGACTTGTTTTGCAGCTTTAGGAAAGGAGTTGGGCAGAGCTGAGGTTCAAGTATGTTATCTGTGAAGTGGGAATACCTTGTCCACCTGACTTGTGTGTTTTTCAGACCAGGTAACATGATGATAGGCAGCATTGTAGGTCCTCTAAGAACAGGAGAACCAGAGTTTGCTTTAGTAGGCAAGGGTGAGAAGCACAGTGGAAATGCATGGTAGAGTTGCCTGTCGGCTGTGAATTGGACAGTAATGAAACATCTCTCAGGTAACTGAGAAAAAGAATAGATCAACATAACCTATCAGTATCATAGGTACTGCGAATAAACAAATTTAAAAAATAATAATTTTAAGCATAAAAATACATGTGGTCTTTTTTTATCATTCACAGGGTACAAGCTCACTCAATTACTCATAAATTAGAAACACAAGCCCTCTTTACTGGGTAAACAGGGACAGCTAATGACTTGTTCTCTTCTGTTTGGTTGGGTCTTTTTGAAGCAACCATACTAAACAGGTCACAGTAGATGAATTCTGAATTCATTCTGGCATTTGATGATATCTGGCATTTGATGATATCAAGAAGCTTGCTGGGCATTAACTCTTATAGCATGCAGAGATGGGCAAAGAAAATTTTACTTGTATTGTGGGTTCTCAGTATTTATGTAAGTTTTTTGTTTGTATTCTTTTGAAGTAAATTGCAAGAGTCTGAGAAGAAGAACATGGAGCTGTTGACGGATATTGAAAGGCTGAAAAAGGAGACAGAAGAGCTTAGATCAGAAAAGGGTATGGCAACTGATATCCAAGTAAATAACATGTTTCATATTGGGGGGTACATCTTACCAATTAAGTGTCACCTTGCAGGTAAAATACGATGCCAGCAGATGCTGACATACAAACTGTGAGCACAACAATTGCGTGTTAAGATGTACCCACAGCACCTGCCTTTTCACTTGTAATGCATACTTGTCACATGCTTCAGTTTTGTTGATATGCTTGAACCAGTAAGGCATTATTTCAGCTGGAACTGTATTATTTTTATTTGGGGTGTATGGTGCCTTACTGCTGAAGAACTCTTAGAAGTACAGATATTTATAATTTCCACCCCCCCCTTTATGATGGGTGAAGGTATTTAGACTTGAATACCGATCATACTGCTCTTCATCTATGAATGTTTTGGCCCTGACTGCATGGCAAGTAAATAACTGCAGAGGCATTCATAGCATTTATTTCTTTCTGGGGTGACTTTGTTGATTGGTTTTGTAACTGTATAATGAGCAGTGTGGTCATGTTTGCTTTGCTGGGGTATTAAGAGTATGTTCCGGGATTTCTGGTGCATCTGTCTAACAGTATTTTGCATGGTTGCTGGGAGAAAAGACTTTTTGGTAGTTCTGGAATTAAAAAAAAAAAAATTCATTGAGAGTTGATTAATGCTTTGGATAATTCTTTGCAGTTCCCGCAGTAGCCCTGCTATTTGTATCTTAGGAGTCACATGGGAAGAAGTGATTTTTGAGACTGAATGGAATTACCTGACTTTCTGTAGGGAACTGTTTGAACTCCACAGTTTCAAACCTGGCAACAATTGCTTTGTAGAGATGTCAAATATTGTTCAGCCTTTGCAACCTAACAGCATGGCAATCAATAATATATTGAAGTTAATATTAATCTCCTATATATAGGCCTCTAAGTGCTGGTTGACTGGTAGAAGTAGTACAAGCCCATGCAGAACATTAAAAAATGACGGGTGCTGATGGACTTGGGAAACTTATACCTGTTCATCTTGGTGTTTAGCACTGGTACCAGGATTATGCTTCTTCCAAGTGCTTGAAGAGGAACTCCTGGTAGCATCTCCCTGGAGACAATAATGTTTTGACATGTCTCACATCGATTTATAGATTATCGAACTGTCTTAAATATTATGCACGGTTACTTGGCTTTTGAAATCTTCCTTCGCATTAAACAATCTGTTAAGATTTATAATTAATATTTTACCCTGTATTTTTTTCCAGTGTTTAAAACTTTCTTGGTTTTGTGACAACCAAGATAAATATTTCTCTTTACTCTAAAAGAAAAAAAAAAGGAATTTACTATTCAAGTAAAAGTTATTATCCTTTTTGACAGAAGTAGATTAATAAGATTCTACTGCAACTGTTCAAATATTTTGATAGAAATACACCTTAATCCAAAATCTTTACTATATTTGAACTGGGTTTTCTCTTGTAAGAAGAAATATATTGATGACATACAATATATTGCTATCATGAACTGTACAGAGGATTCAAATGGAGTCAATGTACAGTGATAGAGTAACTTCCCATTTGTGGAAATTGATTTCTAGGAGGGGATTACTTAAATTAGCATATGCATTCTTTGCTCTTTATAAATGTGTTCCAGAAGCTGAGGAGAGTAGGGAAAAAAGATTACTAAAAATTTTTCTGTACAGTAGCAGGTAGTTTGAGAATGGTTTTTAGTCTTTTATTGGGGTTTCAGTGGATTTGTATTTTGAAGAGGAAAGAATGCTTTGTAACTTGTTTGTTCATTGCGGGTTGTATTTAGTGCAAACAGGGTGATATGGACAGTTAGAGCAAGGCACTGGCAATTTTTTAAAACAAATAAATTGCTTTTGATGGCATCAGTCTTTTGAGATGCACACAGTCCTGCAGGCTCTGGTCATAAGGAGTATATGTGTTTATGATGTATTTGTACTGTTAAGGAAGCTGGAGTTTCTACACATATGTGATTTATAAATACCCAGACAGCAACTTGAATTGTTCCTCAAAGGAAAGAGCAAAGGAAAAAAAAAATCATCTGCCGCAAGTTAAAATAACAGTCAAGATGTGTCAGCCTCTGTGACTTCACAGGATGCAGCACTCCTGCCCTACTTGCTGGATGAAAGCTGTGTGGCTGGTGTAGCATGAGAGAGGCATTTGATGCTTTACCCAGGGTTGTATTACTCTCGTACATTCATAAGTGAGCAGTGGCAGACAGACATAGAACATGGGTCAGGGAACTTGTATTATTTGGAAGTGCAGCATGTTCCTCAGGCAGGTTATTCTGTAGGTTTTTGGGGAAGCCCACTGTTTGCTAAAGGTGTCTTGTCACAATAGGCTCTCCAGGGTGGGACTAGAGCAGGGCTGACACCTGCTGTGCTGGTGTGTGTGCCTGCATGTGGTGCAGTGTGTGGACATAGCACATTAGAAACCTCTGCCTTCTGCTTAACAGACATGTACATATGATGTTTTCAGGTGAAATTCACACCACACATGCTAGCTTGGAAAATTCATCCTGGGTGTGGCCAACAGGACTAGGAAAGTGATCCCCCCCCCTGTACTCAGCAATGGTGAGGCCACACCTTGAGTACTTGGTTCAGTTTGGGTCCCCTCAGCACAAAAGAAGACACTGAGGTGCTGTAGTGGCTCCAGAGAAGGGCCACTATGCTGGTGAAAGGTCTAGAGCACAAGTCTTACAGGGAGCAGCTGATGGAACTGGGGTTGTTTAGCCTCAAGAAAAAGAGATTGAGGGGAGACATTGTGGGTCTCTACAGCTAACTGAAAGGAGGTTGTAGAGAGGTGAGTGCTGGTATCTTCTCACAAGAAATAAGTTATAGGACAAGACAAAATGGCCTCAAGTTGCACCAGGAGAAGTTTAGGTTGGATATTAGGAAAAATTTCTTCACAGAAAGAGTTGTCAAGCACTGGAATAGGCTGACAGGGGAAGTGGTTTAATCACCATCCCTGGATGTGGTTAAAAGTCATGTAGATGTGGTGCTGAGGGACATGGTTTAGAAGTGGATTTAAGATAATGGTTGGACTTGATGATCGTAAAGGTATTTCTCCAACCTAAACTATCCTATGGAAAGGTTAATTAAACATACCCTGCTTGCTTAGTGGGTATACGTCTTTTAAAATCTTTTACTCTGGAAAACAGACCAAATGCAACAACTCATTTCAAAAAGATGTAGGTGGTTCAGGTGGATACTCAAACCCTGATTCAGCAAGGCAAAGGTCCTCCATGAAAAGGTCATTTTTCTGTAGCTTAAAAACCTGCTGCTGTTTTCTAGGTGTAAAGCACCAAGACTCACAGAATTCTTTCTTGGCATTTTTGAATGCGCCTACCTCTGCTCTGGATCAATTTGAAGTAAGTGTACAGCTCTTCTAACTCTATGTTAATCAGTGCAACTACTGCTGTTGTGTGTAGGTTATACACAGATTTGCGGAGAGTTTGCTACTGTATTTTAATCAGATTGCTTTGTTTATATTTGTGTATAATAATGTGTGAGAATTGTCATTTGCAGTGCTGGCTGGCTTCTCTCGAGCACTGGCAGTGAATTCTCTCTCAAGCCTTCAATGCAGAAAAAAGCACAGCTGTGCCATTCCTTTGTATTCAGAAAAATGCTAGGTAATGCAGATACTGGTTTGGTAAAAATGAGAGAAAACAGATAAACCTTGAGCGTATTGCGTGAAGTCAATGATAGTCTCTAATAGTTTGTGTTCATCTTTTGTTCATTTTACACAGCTGTAAAATCCAGATAATTACTACTAATTTCCTCTCCACAGATCCTATATATTTAAAAAAATCTACTTAATTCCTTTTTCACAAAAGACCAGTTTAGGTAGAAAATCTGGAAGAAAAAAGTGGAAACAGTAGCATGCATTTCACATCTTCTGTTTTTTAATCAACAGTAAGCAATGCATCATTTCTTTTGAATGACCAGGGGGTTGAAATATTGGTCCAACTGAATTCAGAGGGGACAAGGCACGACCTTTATAGTTGTGCACTGGTCTAAAATGTGCCCATTTTTTTCCTGATGGGTGTACAGGGTCATCACGTTTAGCTATGAAAGAACACAATCCCTGATGTTCTGGTGTTCCAAATTTTCTTTCTTTTCATTGTGTATTCATTAATTCATTGTTCTCTCTTGAAATACTCACAATTAATAACATTTTTTAAATTTGCTTTTTAATTATTTATCTTAGAAGTTGCTTTCAATAAAAAAATCCTGCTGGAGTATAGGAACATTATTTTATTGAGTGAATGCTGGCAAAACATTGGGTTTAATACAGGTAGTGTATTGCTTAATTGTCTATGAAAGGCAATTAATGAAAATTTACTGAGCTGGCTATTACTGGCACTAGTTACTTACAGTTCTTTATTTTTTTACTTTCATTCATACTGAACAGTTTTCTTCATCCGTTTCTCTCTGTTTCTTTTTTTTTACTGCTGTTTTCATTAAAATAGGATTCATTTTCCTCCTCTTCATCCTCATTGATTGATTTTATGGATGACGTAAGTCTTTGACTTTCAAACCAGTAAATCCCTCAATAGCAGAAATCAGTTGATTGATTTGGAATATTCAAATGTTAATGCAGTCAACTTAAAAAACCTTCAAGTGCAGTGGAGAACAGAATATTCCTATAATAGCATACTTACACCTATTTATAGAGGTAGATGTGCAGTTTTAGAGTAAGTGTTTTTCTTTAGGTGCAGGTGAAGAAAACCTAATTGCAAACAGTTTTTCTAATGGAGAATCTGCTTTTGAGCCTTATCTAGAAGGCCTTATCTCTTTGAAAATGGTTCCAAAATCACTGGCACATTTATTTAATTTAGTTCTATTTCTTCCTATTATGTGATCATTAGTTGTTTTCAAAAGTTTTCTGATCACTTCAGTGAAATTGTTTTCTTTGCATACACTTAATTTCTGTTTGCCCAGATAAAATATTGTCTCTGTTCTAGCCTGTATTGTTAGAAGTAGTTTTCATAATAACTGAATATACCACTTTTTATTGCCATTTGAGGGGCTCATTTTCTGTCAGGACAGCATTTAAATACTTACCCTAGTTAACTGCACACTAAGGGAATTTAGTTAAAAGCTGAAAATTGACTGCATTATGTTTCTCCCAGACTGAACAAGTAGCCACATGAAAGTAAATAACAATAAGATTTTAAAAATCAAAGTATATACTGTGCATCCATGGTAGAGAACCATCCATTACAACTCTGTAGGTATTGTGTGTGTATGTCTGTGTGTGCATGTATATATGTGTATACACATATTTATACATGTAGAGTTAAAATTGTATAATCCTATTTTGCATTTAAGTGTGATATAATTAATTTTATCCTAGAAATGTCTTCTGTGAAGGATGTAACAAAGAGATTATAGTATATGAGCCTGTTCTAGTGATTGGATTTCCTTTCACAAACTCTGAAAGACTGCTTTTCTTCTACATGCTTTTTTTCTGATAATCAGGTATATACCTTAGATAAAATGTAAAGGTACATCTGTGTTGTAGTGTAGTAGAAGGTTTTTGCCTGCACTTCTGTATAGCATACAGAAAATTTTGGCTTGCTCATATTTTTGGAATTTTCTTAGACCACAAAAAATGAGAGTACAGTTGCCTGTCATGTTAAATCTACAATAAATGAATAATATTTATATACTTTATCCAGATTAAAGAAGCGTTCTCTGTGTTGCCTGAGTATTGGGTACACTTAGTTTGTGTCAGCAGGTTCTTTCATAGAAAGATAACTAAACATTTTTAATACTCTCTTCTAAGATGTGTTAAAAGAGAGATAAAGTACATATGCAGCAGTCCCTGATAATATTCTATTTTTCAAGGGAAAACTTAGGACAAGAAAGTTTTCATCATTGCCATCTAGTGAATTTTGAAGAACGTCAGTACTTTATTCTGTGTTTAGTGTTGGTTTGTTGTTTGTTTGTCTCTGGGTTTTTGGGGTGCTTTGTTTTGTTTGTTTGTTTTAAAGAAGGTATATTATTTTCATAAGTATTTTGACAAAATCACCTTTTCTTAAAAGAAAAATCTATACAAGTGAATAGTTTTCAGCTGTTGGCATACATCCTTTAAGACACTTGTCTTGATTAGTCCACCCAGATCAAATATTTTCAGATACTCATCTTAGTCTTGGATAAACCTCCAGGTTTTAATGTGTATATTGTTGCACGTGAATGACTTACCTAATACGTGCAGACTCAAACTTCCCTTGTTACATCTTCAATCTGAGTCCAGCAGGAGGGTTTTTTTTTTCAGTCGCATTGAGCCAGAGTATGTATGGGCCTGGCCTGGTCTGGCCAGAGGCTATTGTCTGTAACACTGGGGCAGAATTCTTCCTCATAGGACAAAACTGCAGAAGAGGGTTGACGGTTCGAAATGGAAAGAGTACCTTGCAGACAAATACAAGACTTGTTGAGCTATCTGTCTTTATTAGGAAGAGAAATAAAGCTAATGTTTGCATTCGTAGGTGAAAGGTGGAAAGTCGTGCTTAAAGTCAGTTCAATATCTTTCATTTATTGGACAATTATTTAATTCATAGAGAGATTCATAACATATAGACTTTGAATTATCAAAATGAATGGTTATTTATGTTCTAGCTCATTGAGTTGGTTCAATATCAATGTATTAGGCAGACTTAAGTGAAAGCAAGGGCATTAAAAAGCCCTTCCCACTGGATGTGACCACCATTCCCTTTCTAGTATCTTTTTTTGACTTGAAGGGCAGTTTCTTGTAGCAACTCAAGAAGAATTAATCTGTGCTCAGTCCAACCTGAGAAGCGTGTGGTTTTTTATGTACAAGGAAGAATTAGAAAACCTCAGGTCAGGCTCATGCAGTGCTGCAGTATTGCATGGGTTTCAGGAAATCCTTTCCTGTCATCAAGAGCCCCAAGTAAATATTAATAATGGCCCATATTATTTCTTCAGCCTCTGTGCTTCATTAAGAAATGACAGAGAGTGTAAAAAGAATACCAGTTACCTAGCACTCTTTGCAAGGTCTCTGCAGTCTATTTAACATACAGATGTGTAAGCAGCACCGAGTTTGGCCCACCCATTACATTTGGAGTTTGCAAGAGTTCAGTGTGTCTTGTGTATCTGACATCCAAGTAACACTGTTTATAGCACTCTGAATGACTGGAGTAAATTCTAGTTTTTGTCATGAGGAAAATGGTAGTTCTGCAATTGCTACTGGAGAGTGAAGTGCTCAGAATTGGGGTTTGACATATGGACTATTCCCTTCTCTGCAGAGATGTGTGATGATTCTTGTCTCTGAAGAGAAGGGAATCATCCATATGTCAAACCCCAGTTCTGATACTTCAGAGAGAAGTAGAGCTATATGTCCTGCTGCATCTGTAGCCTGCAGGTGCTGAGCAAGAAGAGTAGCAGCTCACTATTCAGACGGGTAGCAGTCACTGGTGGTTTCACCTGTCCCTCCCTGAAAAGATACTTGGTCAGGCTGGCAGAATGTGGTGCCCAAATCCTCATAGCTGCAAAAGCTCATGCCCTCAGAAATGATCCTTCTGCGTCCTGTGCATGCAGGAGGGTGCAGAGGGGAGTAGGAGTGGATTTTGCTGTCCCTGGTTTCTGATTTTGGTGAGGTGGAAAATCACCCCCAGCGACTTTAATACACTAATTTAGAAATCTTTGCTGCTGTTTCTCCTGTGTGTTGCAGGCTGTCTCTCCAGTAACGTCGTCTAGCTGTAAAGTCTCCTGTGTTCACTAGAGTGTCTGATAGTGGAACTGTTGAGGTTTGGGTTTATTTTGCCAGGTGGATCTTTCTGTATCTTGACAGCTACTAGAAGCCATCAATTTGTTTTATTTAAAGATGAATTTGTGATTATTCAATAACAATAAAAGGAAATGTCATCTTCCCTTGACAAAATTATTTTCCCCAGTTGCTAGAAAATATTATTTTCCCCTGTTATCAAACCATTATGAATTAAAACTAGATTTCTTAAAACCTCCTGCAGTCTATTCTCACATGTAGTCTCCCTGGGCTTTGGTTAGACTAAACTAATCTGAATTTTGTAAATAACTACAGAACAAATCATGTTCTGATTTCTCATGATGAAACAGAATAAGTCATAGTACTGTGGCTAGAGCCCTGGCTCTACCTGAACATTCATAATTGAATTTAGAATAATTCTGATTCTTAATGGCACTTTAAATTGGACATAATGCCCCTCCAAGAGATTTTTCTTTTAATGATCTTTCTTGAAGTACAGAGATGCTAATTGCCAATTAGTGGTGTAATGTACTCTGCAGTTTCATTGATATTGACCAGTGTAAGTCTACAGACTTTAAAACTACTGTTCTTCTCTCTTTGTTTTTTTTTTTTTTAATGTTTTTCCCCCTCTTGTTGCCCCAGCCTATCTTGTTTCTAAAATACCTGTGAAAATGACCATGTTTGTGTGTGTGTCTAAGCACTACCTCTGGAAATTTAGAGCAACAAGTTCTGAGCTGATGTATCTGTCACTGTTTGGTTTTGTAACATTTTCTCCTCCTTTCTTTGTTAAAGCGCTCTCCTTCCTGTACTCCAGCTAACAAAGGCAGACGTGTAAGAGGCTGTCTCACTCTTTGTGGCCCTTTATTTTTTGCCTGTTGTGTACATGCCTTTGTTTAATGTATGGATTGTGTATCTACCTCACTGCATGTCTGTGCTGCTGCTGCTGTTTGCTGCTGCTGCTGCTGCTGTGCTTTTTGTTGTTTTGCAGCTGTGGGCTAAAAGCTTTTGGACTATTTCGTTTGGTAATTCCGTGAGCAGAATATCACAGTAACGGGAGAAGATGCGTTGGGTACTTTCTCATTTGAACATGAAAGTTCCTTGTGAAGGCTGACCAGGTAGATGCATGTTGGGAAAATGAGCCAATGTCAGATGAGGGCCTCTTTGTCTCCTTGCCCTTAGCAGAGGGCATGTGTTGAGTTATGGGAATTGCCTCTAAAAGTTTGGCAATGGGAGGCATGTCATATGGCAAATAATAGAAAGTACTGCAGTACAGAGATAAATGGGAAGTAGGGAACTGAGTAAATTGGAACATCAAGGAGGGCAGGAAAAATTCATACAGGGAGAACAGAGTTGGATGTGTTGTAGTCTGTTCAGCTGGAAAGCTCCATGGTGTTTCAAAAATCACTGTATATTTTTAAACATGGTATTATCAAAGCTCTGTCAGACTGAATTCATACCAGGCGTGCTATCTCCGTTTTAAACTTGTGCTGCCACTTTTGATTCTTTCATAAGATTATGAGGATAGGAATAGGAAAGCATACAAAGCATTTATATTGAATATTCAATAAGTAATAATACTCAACAGCTCTAATTATGACCTTACCCAAGCAGCTGAAAGCACACCACTCAGTGTCTTAGGCAAGCATAAAGAAACAGCTTGGTTTTGTCAGCTGTGGCTCAAATTCAGAAGTTCATCTCTCCTTAAGATGTGATTAAACACTGGCCAGCTTTGGCTCAACCTACACAGATGACACTGTCTAGGCAGCTAAGCACAGTCCTGTGGAAGATGGCAGGGCTATTAGAATATCTAGGAAATATTGAAATATGCTTTTAATAATCCGGTGGATTAGTTTAATTTTAAAGGTGTTAATACAGTCCACAGAAGGTTTTTGGCCATAGTTGAGTCAGGTTGCTTTTGTACTTGGTTCTTCTCATTAAAGCAAGGAATTTGGAGTTCAGTATGGTCTAAGGCCCTGTTTCTACAGTGAAGGTAGTAGTTAATTTCCCTTCAAATTCTGTAATGAATGGATCAGGTTCTCTGTTTTGTGGGCATTTTATGTTCATGAGTAAAATAAAAATATATTTGTTACTGGTTCATCAGTTGCCTTCAGCCACAAAGGTTTTGTAGCACATTCCAGAAAAGTTCTATCATTCATATCAAGCTTGTACTAAATTTTTTAAGAGACACCATGAAAATTCTTTGGTATGCAGATGCTACTTTGAAAGGGAAGGCCTTTTGAGTATCTGGAAACATTTATGAAATGACAGATTAGATCTCTGAGTTCAACTTGCAAAAGAAAAGGAATGTCTGCTTCTTGCTAGGAACCATTTGCCTGTAGTTACTCATTGGGCTTATTTTTAATAACTCTTTTAAGTAGAAGGTTAAACAGTCCTTGAGTGAACGTCAAGTTATCACGTGTTTAGACTTGATAAAAAAAAACCCTTTAAAATAATTGAAGCACTGTTACATGTCTGGGGATTTACTACCTAAGGGCATCAATGTTTCTAATACTGGATAAAGCTTCTAAATATTATTTGGTTCTGATAAATCTGAGCACAGAATTTTTGCTTTACTGCTAATTTTTGGCCTCAATGCTTGAAACACATGATCTACGTGTAGACAACAGGTGTATTCCAGTGAGACAATTTCATGTTTTCATTACAGAAATACTTGCAGGCATCTTAATAGGCCTAAGTTGATTAAGCTGATCATTTTCCACCAGATATATTTTTTTGAAGGCTATAATAATACTAGAAGCCATCAGATTTAACTCACTACTATTAAAAAAAGAGAAAAAGATACCAGGAACTGCACCTGTTTGCTACCATGACTGAGTTTCTGGAGAACAGGACTATATATGCATGTGTAAGATTGGCTTGGCAATATATTTTATTCCCAAAAGGCAGTAAAATTTGTGGGATTCTTTAGTATGATGTAAATGGCATATGAGATAAACACTGGAACGTTCAAATGCTTTCTGTAACCGTTGCTGCATATTTTAGCTTGTGTGCAAGGTAGCCAAACCCTTAGCAATGGGGACCTGATGATAGCATTGCTCCAGAAAGGCCAGGTATGCACCAGAGACTTCTGAAGGCTTCCAGCTTTTAGTTATATTATTAGTGGAGAAAAACATCATCTCGCTCTGATTTTTTTTTTTTTTTTTTAAATATATGAATTTCAATAGGAAACTTTGATATGGAGATGTCTTGTTTTCAAGGACATTCTCTGAGTTTTCAGTTGGACTGACAAAAGATGACTTGTTATCCAAGATACCTGGTTGTACCCATATGCCTTGTTGTTCAGTGTAGTTCTGTGTTGGGCTTAGTTTCATTGTATATCAGGGACTGGGAAAATATTCCCCTGAAGAAACTATTCCTGGGAAGGATATTTTGGTAGTTCATATGGGGTACAAAAACCAACTCAATTCTCTGTGAGTATAACTTGCACTAACCTCAGGAAATATGTTGTTTGCGCTCCCTTTTCATCTTATTTTGTACTAAATATGTTTGCAGTGATTTCTATGGACTATATTCACTCTGATGAATCTCTGTCACCAGTGGACAAAACCCAGTAGTGTTTAGAAAACATTCACCCTTTAAAAATGCTGAATTACAAGTCTGTTGAAGTGTTTATCAGGCCCCTGAACTAGCAGCTCTTATGCATGTGCTCACCTCTTAGCAGAAGCCTTGGCGTGTTTGTATTCAATAATTTTCACTGCATTTTTGTACTTTAATTAGGAAATTGCTTAAAACTGAATTTTTATCCTCTCAGTTCTCTCTTAGGAATTCTACTGCTCCCCTAACTTATTTTGGTAAGAGCTGAGAATTCTCTTTTAATGTTGTCTTTGATTTATTTTTTTGGTTGTCTTTTTTTTCTCTTGAACTGTTCTCCTAGATTGATTCCGTTGAGAATTTTACATTGTCTAATACACCGTCACGGGATGATGATAGCAAGTCTCACCTCCATTCAAGATCAAGATCTCCTTCTACAGCTAGTGAGATTGAACCAATCGAGGTACTTCAGTGTTGACAAGTTTTTGTCTTTATTTTAGGAGTAACAGTTTCACTCTTATAAAAATCACTATTGCAAATCCTTTTGTTTAGAATGAAGCTCACTCTGTAGCAAGACTATTTGACCTTGTAATAGCCTTCTGTGTTAGTGGTGAACTGTATTTTGGGGAATGTTGCACTTCCTTTCACATACAGGTAATGAACTGGGGATGGGAACTATGTTGAATCAACTATTTGATATGGTCTCTCTTCATAACATGTCCTTAGTCATTAATATTTCAGAAAAGTTGGCACAAAGTTAATGTTATACTGTAGTTTCCAAGAGCACACTTTGGTGTCCTGCGGAAAGTCTTGTCAATACAAAATATTAGCCAATCTCTGCAACGACAACAATGTATCTCCTTTCTCTGTTAAAAAAATTAACTGTCTGATTATTTCAGATTAGAAAAGATTGAATCAAACACTTAAGATAATACAGAGTTATTTTTGACATTTAGGAGATGAATCTTACACATCATTTTGCTGAAAAATAAGATTTGGTTTTCTGAGTCCTTGTGTTAATCAGTCTGGTTTCATGGCTTCTGTGTTTCGGGATGGGTGGGGTGGGATGTGGTAGTCTTTTTACTTTATTCAAGCTAACTGTGTTAGTGTGTATTTGATGTCTTACTGACCCTCTTGGGTCTGTGTTCAGGTTACAGATCATCCTCCCCGTTCAATTCACACACCCACCATGAGGACAACATATATTGGATTGGGACTCTCTGCACCAAAGGTATTCAGTCAAGCATTCACACTTCTTATATAGTGAGGGGGAAAATACCAGTCCTGGAGAACTGTTCCTCACAATACTTTTACCAAACCTGCCTAGAAAGAGTCTTTATGTGCAAGCTGGTTGCCTTCTAAAATTTAAACTTCTTCATTCTTATATAGTGTGTTGTGACAACTTGTACTGAGCATTTCACTGTAGCGGCACAAAAGCATTCAATTGTAGGAGAAGCAGTAGTTTGGACATTAGAAAAGAATAAGAGAATGACAACATAAAGCAAGGAAAAGAGACTTCCTAGAAAGCATGTTTTCCAGCATGTCTGACCAACCTCTGTCTTCTGCAGACAATCTGATGTCATTGTGGGCTGGTGTCAGATTAGCATACCTGTGTGCTAATTAGATGCTTATTTTTGAGAAAAGGCAAAGAGAAAGCCTAGAATCATAGAATGGGTTGGGTTGAAAGGGACATTAAAGATCATCTAGTTCCAACCCCCCTGCCATGGACAGGGACACCTCCCACTAGACCAGGTTGCACAAGGCCACATCCAGTTTGGTCTTGAACACTTCCAGTGATGGAGCAGCCACAGCTTCCCTGGGCAACCCGCTCCAGTGTGTCACCACCCTCATAGTGAAGAACTTTTTCCTAATTTCTGATAGAAATCTACTCTTTTTCCCATTTGAACCCATTACCCCTCATCCTATCGCTACAAGCCCTCATAAAAAGTCCCTCCCCAGCTTTCTTTAGGCCCCCTTCGGGTACCGGAAGGCCACAATTGTGTCTCCCTGGAGCTTTCTCTTCTCCAGGTTGAACAGCCCCAACTCTTTCAACCTGTTCTTGTAGGAGAGGTCTTCCAGCCCTCACATGAAAATGAAACTGTAGGTTTGCATTTTTTTATAAGCAGTGTAGAATGAGCACTACAGCCAGCACTGCAGCACTGGGCTGGGAGAAGGAATTTCAGGCTTTCTGTCTAAGGGCTTTTTACTTGCATCAATACTGATTTTACATCAGTTGTTCAAATTATTTTGCTGTTGGGCAAGTAAGCGAGTAAATATATGCTAATTCCCAGTGAACTGTGTATATTCAAGCAAATGAGGAATAAGATACAATCTATGAAAGGAAAAATTTTCCATCAAAGTTCCAGAAGTGCCTCAATGGCTTATGTATCTTTTGTATCTTTTAAAAACTGACAATTTTTCTGCAACTAATCAATGAAGTAAGTCTCTCTAACAGATCTGTTTCTCTGCTTTGATAAATTCCAGAATAACATAAGACTTTGTCTAAAGGAAAGTAAAAGGTTTGAGTATTCTGTGGGTAACATCTTAGTAAATCAATTAAAAAAATACTGTAAGTGCATTTGGAATCATGTGAAACTGATTTGCTTTCTAATTTAGTATGTTCCCTAAAGAATCTTCTTGCCTTATGATTACATCAGTTTCTAAAGTTAAGTATTGTTTCCCTGCAAGTTTCAAAACAAGACATCCATCTTTATACAGAAAGCTTCCATTTTAACAGTAAAGCTGTCATTAAATATGAATGCAATCTGAGCCCTTATCTGAGATGTCCTATGATGTGAAATACAGGAGAGTGAGTAAAATTTTAATATACCTACTCATTAAAGTAGTCTGCAAAATTGTTTTGTTTCAGATCACATGTGTTATCCAGGTTGTTTTGGCAGCCTTTGTGTTCACCCTGTGCTGTGTATCCTTTCCCCATCTACCAGTTTTACTTCACTGGGAGTTTTTTTAGAAAAGAAAAAGAATCTTCCTAGATTTTATATAAGACCTTTCATTAATTTGACTACCACATTACGTAGTCATTTAGCCTTGATATCATAGCATCAGCACTCCCACCCTTGAGGGCAGTGAGGAAATTAAAACACTCATGTAGTCTGTGTGCCCAAGAATTAACAAGAAGAGAAGCCCTTTCAAAATCAACTTCATCTGTCCTCTTGCTTTTAAATCAGGTGTTCTGAAATTGCCTATGCCTGACACCATAAAAATGAACTCTGTCATGTTTTCTGTCTTAAAAGGTAGAATTTTGAAAAAGTCTCGTGTTTTTCTTTGAACTAAGGCAGCACCTCTTACAGAGGAGCATTGAATTTGCAGCTTAGAAAATACTGTGGTGGTTTGACCTTGGCTCGCCGCCAGGTGTCCAGCAAGCACATACACACAATCAACTTCTAGAGTGCAATGGAATAATTTGGGCAACTTTACAGTTGCCCAAATCTGTAGTGGAAGCAAACTAATTTTCTGAGACAAGATCCAGTTTCCATGGTTTCATTTATAATGGATGGCTTAAATAATCCATAACAAGCCCTGATAAGGAGGGTTTTTTTGGCTCGTGTGTTAGGAGCTCAAATCTGTTTCAGCAAATACAAATAAGTGACCTTTTTAAATGCACCTCTGCACTCTTAGGTCTGTGAGAAAAACAAGAGTAAAACAACTGTTCTTCAGAAGTGTTAACAAGTATTAACATCCTTGTTTGCTTGTTTTGCAGCCTAAAGCCCACCAGTTTGTAGTGAAATCATTTAATACACCAACAAAATGCAATCAGTGCACTTCTCTGATGGTCGGTTTAATACGACAGGGCTGTACTTGTGAAGGTAAGCACAGAAGTTGTGAACAAGTTCTTACAGGTGCAGATTACACGGTAAGTGTAACGTGACAATGCAGAAGTCTTCTGTTCATATTTTGAATAACTGCATATATTCTCATGCTTCAGTCTGTAACGGTGGAAGCCAAACACCGAGCATCTTACCTAACAGATTGCCTAGTTATCTGGGGACAGACATATTCCATTTGGTAGTTGAAGAGCTTAGTTCACTTTACTTAAAGTAGTGATAAGGGGCCACAGCCAGTGGTCAAGAATGCTGACAGCAGCTTTGATTTCTGGCTTAGGACAAAATGTAAGACAGCGTTGACATTCAGAACCAATTTTGTTTCTTTCCAGGACTAATTTATTCTAGGTTTGTATGTACATAGAATGACACTCTCCATTTAGAGGATCTTCCAGCTTTTTCTTTGGTAGTAGAGTTGAGCCTAGAGGAAGTCATAGAGACTATCTCTGTATGAGCTTCTGATGAGGCTCGCTCTTACCTGGATGATACCAGACTGCATATCCATACTTTTCTGAAAATGAGAATACCAGAATGCAGAGCAGATAAAATCATGAGCTGCTGCCGTGCGCAGACTTACATTTCTGTCTTGGGATAGCAAGGCTCAGTGAAAATATTCACTTGTTGGTCAAAAAGAAAAAACAGAATTTCCTTAAAAATGTCATTGTCATAGCTTTCACTTTGCAAAATAAATAACCATGAAATCTTTTTGTTTCTTCTCCTCGCAAGTGTGTGGATTCTCTTGCCACGTGACCTGTGCAGACAAGGCTCCTGCAGTGTGTCCAATCCCTCCTGAACAGACTAAGGGACCTTTGGGAATAGATCCACAGAAAGGCATAGGAACAGCTTATGAAGGACATGTCCGAGTAAGTATCAGGTAGCTGCAATTGGGGCACTTCTATTAAATTTGTTGGGTTTTGGAGCTGAAATTAAACTCTACTTGGTGCATTGGGGACAGGGCAGGGAGAGTGGGTGTGGATGCAGTTTTACAGTAAGATAACAGCTTGGAAACTGTGACCTAAATTTTCACAAAGCAGCTCTTAGCATTTTCAGTAGTAACTTTCTCTCCATGTCTGTTGGCCATGGTACTTTGAGTGGGTCTTGAATAGCCCATTTGTAGAGACCAGATCATCTTACAGGGCCTGTTGAGTTTTTCATTCTTTCTGGTGATGCCCAGAAAGCTGACAGCATCCTGGCCTGGATCAAAAACAGTGTGTCCAGCAGGAGTAGGGAAGGGATCATGCCCCTGGACTTGGCACTGGGGAAGCCACAGCTTGACTGCTGGTTTCGGTTTTGGGCACCACAGTAGAAGGAAGACATGGAGGTGCTGGAATGGGTCCAGAGAAGGGCAGCGGTGGTGGTGGAGTCACAATACCTGGAGGTGTTCAAAAAATGTGTAGACATGGCACTTCAGGGTGTGGTTTAGTGGCCATGGTAGTGTTGGGTTGATGGTCGGACTTGGTTGTCTTAGAAGCTCATTGGTATGGATACTTTTATGTAAATACTAAAAAAATTGCTCAACACAGTTTTGACCATATTCCTGTTGACCAACTAGAGATGGATCTCTTATCTATTTAATATAGCTTTGAATGATTCTTTGAAATAAGAAGAATCTGCACTGCTATGAATTTTTAAAATATGTTCTGATGTCTGTGGCTGTTTGCTGCTCTTACTGCACCTGTGCTGTTGCTTAACATTATCACTGAATTAAAGCTTGTCAGCTTAGATGAGAGAATTGATTTTTGTACTGTCTGTCTGATTTTTGATTGCATGCAAACTCACAGAGATCTGATCAGGATTTATTTTGCTCAAGGTACCGAAACCAGCTGGAGTAAAGAAAGGTTGGCAGAGAGCACTGGCAGTGATCTGTGATTTTAAACTCTTCCTCTATGATGTAGCAGAAGGAAAAGCATCCCAGCCCAGCGTGGTAGTGAGTCAGGTCATAGACATGAGGTAAGCTGCTTGGTGCTGAGGGGGAGCTTTTCAGGGGCTTGGGGAATTTTTTTCTGCTTTTCTTTTTTGTGAAATCAGTAAGCAAGCTCCAGAGCTTTTATGAAATACTGTAATCCATGCTGAGAGCCTCTAATTTTCCAGAAAAAATGAAACAATATTTGCAGTTAGCCTGAACTATACTTGTGTGTTCATGTGTGGGAATTTAAACTTTCATTACTGCATCATGTGCCAAAATGCATCTGTTCAGCTGTGTGGAAGAGCTGAAAAGAATAAAGAAGAAAAATACATTCTTTCGGGGTTGAATAGAGTTTGGAAAGACAGCTAAAAATTTGTTACAGGATAAAACTAGTACAATTTTTGATTCAGAAGGGATAGATAGTTTTTTCCACAATGTCTTCAGTATTACTTCAGTACTACCAACTTCATGATGTAGGTTGGTTTATCCAGGATGTCTCAAACAGCTGGAGCTTGCAGCTTCTAGTGAGTTTGGCTTTTTAGGAAAGAGAGCAGTGTCATTTGTCTAGGCTTATTTTTAAAATTTGATTATTTTTCAAAAAAGATTTTAATTTAAACAGACAAAAATCAGAAACTCTGAATAGATTTCATCAACATTTACTGGGAATTAATTGTGTAGCATTGTGTTTGTGAGTTTCATCTGCAGATAATGAGGAAAGGATAATATTAAAAATTAGACCTCAGTATTGTCTTTTACTCTTTTAACTCTTTTCCAATTATGTCTGTGGTTTTTGTAAGGGATGAAGAATTCTCAGTGAGTTCTGTCTTGGCCTCAGATGTCATCCATGCCAATCGAAAAGATATCCCCTGTATCTTTAGGGTAAGTATTATGTCTTAGCCTAATGTGCAGGGTCCATTCACTGACAGCTTGCTAGTATTTAATTTCCTTTGCAAGTTCTGGCCCTGTGGTATCCATGGCAGCAACAGCAATGCATAGGGATCTGTGCATATATCATTTTCATGGTAAAAATAGAACGGGTACATTTAAACAAGTTCTCATCTCCCCTTTATGTGAGTTTTATGTTTTTTAACCTTCACAGTAAGGCATACTTTTCTCAGCCTCGTGGAAATCATCTGGAATTACAGAATCACGGAACATCAGGGGTTGGAAATCGAGTCCAACAATCGAGTCCAACCCCCCTTCCAGAGCAGGGCCATCTAGTCTAGGGCAGGTCACACAGGAACGCATCCAGACGGGTCTTAACAGCCTCCAAGGAAGGATAGTCCACAACCTCCCTGGGGAGCCTGTTCCAGTGCTCTGTAATTCTTCTGTTCCTCATGACCTTCTACATTTTCATTTCCTAAAGTTGCCTTCAGCTTCTCAATTTAATTTGTTGTGTTATTCCTGAAGCCTTTATTTGATGTGTTTTCTTTGTATATATGCATTGGATCTCTGAAAACTCCCATTCGTTGGGCTGTCACTATAGAAATGTAGTGTAAAATGCTCATCAAAATTTATATCTAGTATCTGGTATCAGGTTTTTGCCATCGTTGGCTTTTTCTAATATTCTTCTTATTTTTACCAGCTATACTATTGACGCTTTGACCTCAATGAAATCTTTGGTGTCTTATTAATTCCCCTATCATTTACAATACTATTATATTTCAGCCCACGTTTTTCCAGCTTTCAGACTGTTTTCATCACTCTGCATTCTGAGAGGATATAAAACTGCAAAAAGGGGCTTTCATTTTTATCTATAATAGCTGTGCCAAATACATGAAAAGGATTATAGATCATTCCTCCATAAAGACCTTTCCTGTTGCATTAAATTATTAACAGCAACTGTTGATCTTAAAAAACCCACAGAATACTTTGTAAGAAATTAGGAAGGTGCTGGTGGACAGCTGGTTGAACATGAGCCAGCAGTGTGGCCAGATGGCCAAGGCAGCCACCAGCATCACGGATTGGTTCAAAAACAGTGGGTCCAGCAGAAGTAGGGAAGGGATTGTGCCCCTGGACTGAGCACTGTTGAGGCCACAACTTGAGTACTGGGTTCAGTTTTGGGCACCATAGTAGAGAAAGGTGCTAGAGCAGGTCAAGAGAAGGGCAACAAAGCTGGAGAAGGGTCAGGGGAACATGTCTTCTAAGGAGCAGCTGAGGGAACTGGGATTGTTTAGTCTGGAGAAGAGGAGGCTGACGGGAGACCTTAGGGCTCTCAACAGCTCCCTGAAAGGAGGCTGTAGTGAGGTGGGGGTTGGTCTCTCCTCCCAGGTTACTAGTGATAGAATGAGAGGAAATGGGCTTAAGTTGTGCCAGGGGAGGTTTCGATCGGATATTAGGAGGAATTTCTTTCCTGCAAGAGTGGTGAGGCGTTGGACCAGGCTGCCCAGGGAGGTGGTGGAGTCACCATCCTTGGAGGGGTTCCAAAAACTTGTGGACGTGGTATTCTGGGACACGATTTAATGGTCATGGTCTTGGTGATCCTAGAGGTCTTTTCCAACCTTAATGATTCTGTGACTCTATGAAATGCTTTTCATTATAAAATTCCTGTGAGAAACAATTTTGACTACCTGATTTAGGGCAGACATTTCCAAATTGTGGAATACATTTATATGCTTTTAGAATAAAGCCAAAGTTTTGTCTGCTGTTTGCTTGGTTAGTCACATCTACAGGTTTCGCTGCTGTGGGTTAATGATTGAGACTGTTTTCCCTTAACTAAGGCTACGTTTTTGCATTCTTAGTTCAGACAGCTAATTAAAAGGTAGCTTACATGCATCTGATTTTTACCATTGTAAAAATGATATGATGAATTTTTTTAATTGTTTATGACTTAAAATGTATATTTTGGAATTTTCCAGGTTACAGCTTCCCAGCTCTCTGCATCCAGTAATAAGTGTTCAATCCTGATTCTAGCAGATGGTGAGAATGAAAAGAGCAAGTGGGTAGGAGTGCTGAATGAGTTACACAGGATCTTGAAGAAGAATAAACTCAAAGATCGCTCAGTCTATGTTCCCAAAGAAGCTTATGACAGCACCTTGCCCCTCATCAAAACCACACAGTCAGCAGCAATCATAGGTATGAAATGAGTAAGAAGAAATCTCTTTTAAGAAAAATGGGTATGCTGAAAGTATGGGATTTTTTTTAAAAAAACATGTTAAATGGTATTATCTACTGAATAGAGAGTAATATGTAGTAGATTTGCATCATATGGAAATGTGTGTGAGTTAAGAGAGAAGTAGAATTCACTACCCAGTGGTTCTATCAGTCTTTAAGAGTATTTCTCTCTATTCACACATATTCATAATTACGAATAATTTTGTTATACTGTAAACATAATTCCTTAACTGGGCAAAATTAACACTATAGAATAGCTGTGAATCACTGACTTTACAAAATCTGCTTGTGGGATAGAGAGAAAACATAAAAGCAGAGAATTTAGTAATTTTAAATGGTTCTGCATAAAATATGCTAAACTGATTATTTAAATATGACATAGTTATTTAAAGGTTGGTAGTACCCTTAAGCGCTCTGAATGTTTTGGTTTTTTTTTTAAATCATGTTTCTTGCTGTTATTGCTGCTAACAGAGTTTACCAGTTGTTTTTGTTACATGAATATGTTTGGTTTGGCTTCATATTTCTTTATTTCAAGATACTAAGAAACTGTCAATCAGAATTGTCTCTGTTGTTGATGAAGTATTTCCAAAGAAAAAATAACTTTTTTTTTTTCTTAATATCATAGACCATGAAAGAATAGCTCTGGGGAATGAAGAAGGGTTATTTGTTGTACACGTCACCAAAGACGGTAAGAGATTGGGAACTGGTAATAATTTCCCTAAAATAATCAGGAAGTGACTTTGTAACCTTTTTTTTCTTGATGTAGTAAACTACAGTATCAGCTGGAAAACTCCATATGAGAGCTGATAATCCGGATTATGTTCTATGTGCTTCTGTTTTGGATATCCTTTCCAATAACAACAATCCAGCATCTGGAATACAGTTTAAGTTTTTCTTCTCTTGTTAGAAGCAGGCTCAATACTGAATTCTGCCCAGGTTGCTCAGGCTGTCCAGTCAGGTCTTGAAAATCCTCAAGGACCAAGGTTCCACAGGCTCTCTGGGCTGACTGTTGCATTATTCTCACAATGAAATGTTTCTTTGTAATATCCAGTAGGAACCTCACTCATTTCAGTTTGTGGCTATTGACTCCTCTTCTCCTGTTGTGCATCTCAGAAAGGAGCTGGCTTGATCCTTTCTGTAACATCCTCCATTATACTGGAAATGAAAACTTATATTCAGTATCGTAAAGTAATGATGGATGCCCAAGATAATTCGACAAGTAACATGTTTAACTGTATGTTTCAATTCTCTGAGGGTTTTCTTTTATCAGTGGTTTTGTGGCCAGAAGCTGTTTTTGAAATGAATACTGAAATAATACAGTGTTTGTTGCTGTATCAGATTTGCTTCTCCCTTTTTCTGATGGGGAAAAGCCAAAGGTCTACTCAGCATTGCCACATCTGGTATTATTAAAATACAAGTTTTTATTCTTTTCAATATTGCAAGGAAGCAATAAAGGGGATTTCTTCCATTTCCTTGATAGTTTATCATTACAAATACATATGTTTATAATCAAGTCACACTTCAACATTATTTACTTGGATTTGGGGTTTTCTGCTTTGTTTTGTTTCTAGAGATTATCCGTGTTGGTGACAATAAGAAGGTTCATCAGATTGAGCTTATCCCAAATGAACAGCTCATTGCAGTAATCTCAGGACGAAACCGTCACGTGCGGCTTTTCCCTATGGCCGCCCTGGATGGAAGGGAGACTGAGTTCTATAAGCTGGCAGAGACAAAAGGCTGTCAGTCAATAGTTTCTGGACACGTGCGCCACGGAGCTCTCACCTGCCTGTGTGTGGCTATGAAAAGGCAGGTCCTCTGTTATGAACTCAGTCAGAGTAAGACACGTCACAAAAAGATCAAGGAGATCCAAGTCCAGGGGAACGTCCAGTGGATGTCAATCTTCAGTGACCGTCTTTGTGTGGGCTACCAGTCAGGTTTCTTAAAATATCCCCTTCAGGGAGAAGGCAGCCCATACAGTCTGCTCCATCCAGATGACCACACACTATCCTTTATCTCACAGCAGCCAACTGATGCCATCTGTGCAGTCGAAATCTCAAATAAAGAATACCTGCTGTGTTTTAGCAGCGTAGGGGTTTACGTTGACTGCCAGGGCCGAAGATCCAGACAACAGGAATTGATGTGGCCCGCGACTCCATCTTCTTGCTGTAAGTTGCCATCTGTGTCAGTGTATTTGTGGTTATGTGTTGAATTGGTCACTGCTTGTGTTAATATCTACAGGAAATGAAGTTCAAGGATAATTACCTGACAGGTAAATTAATTCTCCCAGCTTCTGTCAGCATATTTAATCTAGTCAGAGGGTTTAATCCTGTTCTAACTTACACTAGTTTTGACACCTCTGTCAGTGACCTGTACTGCTGTAAGACAAGAGAGGAATCTAGGCTCAGGATTTCTAGCTCTGATACCCAGCTTCTAAACATGTGGCCTGATCTTTAAAGCAGCCAAAAGCCTCAGGTCCTACAGAGGTTAATGGGGTCTTTTTGTATTCACCACTGCTGATACTGGACTGTTGTTACTTAAGGTCTTAATTGTACTTCAGCTCAGCACTGTGATACAGGCTTTCTTCATGTTCAGAGTCATCAGAGTCTGGTAGTTTAACTTGCTTTTCTCTGATGGTGTTTATTCCTTCTTACTGGGTTTTTTTCCTTTTCTTCCCTTATTCCTTCATCCTCTCTTCCTCAGCAGGTTTTGTTGATACTCTAGTCATTCAGCTCCTCTCTTCAATTTTTTAGAAAGCAAGGTTTTAAGTTTTTCCTCTGTCTCCCTTTTTCCTTCCAAATACAATTTATAGCAGGCAGTACAGAAAATATATTTCGTGACCTTAAGGGAAAAATACTGTAATTTTTCAAGATTTCTATTTCCAGCAAGAACTTTTAAACTTTTACTGTACATTTTTTGGGAACTGTTACTTCATCTTTGTGACAGTTGGATGGAAAAAAAAACAACCTGCAGTGTCTATATTCTTCTTTTTAATGTCTTTCTGAATGCAGATAAAGATTAGCCAAATTTATCCTCAGGAGTATCCAAGTACCTCTTGAATGAATGAGCCCAGTCTTACATTCATTTTTCAAGTAATCTGCCTTCTTCCCTCACTGTGACAGCAGTACCGTCACACTGCAGAGGAGAGGAATGTTTCACTTTGTTTGAGTGAAGCCCTTTCTGAATGTAGAAGGAGCAACTTTTACAGGCTGTGAATCATTTCTGGGTTTCAAGCAAGAGTGTGACTATTACAATAATTACACAATTGCATTATTAGAATTATTTCAATAATATTACTACCCGTAGAATGAATGAATCAAAATAGAAGATTATGTGATAGATTGAGAAATAGGCATTTTTACATGTAGTTTTTCTGTACTGGCCATTGGTGAAAGTTTTTTGATTGCCTTAAGTGAAGTGACTTGATGTTAATCCAATTCAGAATGAAGGTATATTTTATAGCAAAAGCTATTATGTTTAAACACAAATTGGATGCTTGTTAGTCTTGGCCAACCATGGCAGTCTTGTTGCCAACATGGAAATACTGAATTCTCCTTTAGAAGTGGTCCTAGTGGAACAAATTTAATCCTGGAGAAATGTGGCAGTTAAGTAGCACAAGAATTCTCTTTACAATCCAGTAAGTAAGAAAAGACAATTAAAGCTGGAAGGAAACATGGAGATTTTTATGACTGTGCCATGCTGCTTAGTTCCAACTGATGTTCATTTAGTACACAGCCAAAAGAGTGGGAGCTCAGTTCATTCAAATGACAGTTGTTAAATAACAGCAATATATTTTTTTACTATGTCATTTACAAAACGCAAACTCATAAAAATAGGGCTTCTAGAAGGAAAAAAGCCTTTGAACACCACCAGTGTTTGGCAGTGTTAACTGTAATCTTTTGTAGTTCAAAAAATAGTTTGGTTCTGAAAAGTTAGAAGCCGTGGAGGTTTTAAGTTTTTTGGTGGTGCTGATTTGCCTTCAGAGTCAATTTCTTGGTAATTTTTTAAGACACATTTTGCAGAGATTGTTGTTGGATTGTTGGATGTTTGTTTTTTTAAATAAATATGGTTAAACTATAAGAAATAGTGAATTTTGAGCCCTATCTAAAAAGCATATGATGCTATATATGTAATCGTTCCCCCTCAGGTTACAATGCACCATACCTCTCTGTGTACAGTGAAAATGCAATTGATATCTTCGACGTGAACTCCATGGAGTGGATTCAGACTATTCCTCTCAAAAAGGTAACTCGCATGTGATTTCCCTCTTTTGGATGAACCTGGAGCATATGAGTATGTTAGACTTGCTGATACTATTGTAGAGAGCAATTCCTTGGTATTAATTGCCTGTGGCTTCATTGGGACTGATTACAGCTGTTACTGCCAGAAGATGGTGGATGTTAAGATAATTAAACAGACTTTCAAAAATCTATCTTCTGCTCCTTGGGAACACTGTGGACAGCTAGGGTTAGAAAATTTTGGTTCAACCAGTACAAATACTAAAACCAGGATGATGTCAGTTTAGGAGGTGTTTGCTTGTCTGTATTTGGGGGAAAAAAAACCCCTTTTTTTCTTTGTCTTCCTCCCTCATTAGACTGACTTCAACTTTGTATCAGTGTCAACCTAATTCCTTTACTGGCATTCCAGTGACATAAAACTACAAGAAATTGCCATTGTGGCCGTGTGTTAGTTAGTCTCTCTGCTTATCAATTTCCCATGTCAGATGGAGAGCAGGATATTATGGCAATGCTGTAGGGATAAACAATGCAAAAATGAAGGCGCTTAGCTATTAACTGGCCTAAGGAGAGAAGAATCTGGCCTTTTACAGGACATTTCCTCCACTCTTTCTGTTGTCCAAACTTTCTGTCATTAAGCAGTTAGAGCATTTTTTTCCTACATAGCAGAATGTGATTTAGTACTTTGGTGAATACTTGGCTCAAGGCAGCCCATTTAATGAAATTAAGCTACTTTCAGCAAAGAAGAATTGCTATATGTAGGAGACTTAAAAATGGCAATTTAGTCCTAAGAGTGTTTGTAACACAATTCACATTCAAAGATTAGAACACTTCTTTCATTTTGAAGTTTGAAATGGGTATTAAGCCTATGTCTTCTAAGTGGAATTTTAAGCAACGCTCTCTGTACTCATTCTCCAAACAGAAATTCAAAATCTAATTTTTTTTTTTAGCTCTGCTTCATGGCTTTAATGACTCACAATTGTCATTCTTGAGAGCAGGCATGTGTTACCAGAGGCAGGAGGCACTACTCCCTCCAGCCTGCAGTTCTTCTGTGGAGCAGGCTTTGCTCTGGCCAGTTAAACTGTTCTGCTCTCTGATTTTATCACAGTGCTCCTATTACACAGTTTAGAATGCACCTTGGAGCTTTCAGAATAAGATGCATTACATAAATGTGAGTTATTACCATTATAAAGACTGATTTTTCCTTGTTTCAGGTACGACCCTTGAATACAGAAGGATCACTAAACCTTTTAGGCCTGGAGACAGTTAGATTAATATATTTCAAAAATAAAATGGCAGGTAAGTAAAAAGAAGATAATTGTCATCATACAAATTTTTGTTTAAAAAGAGCATTTTTCTTTGGCCTGGGTCTGTGCATTATAGAAAGTGATCTCTCAAATGTGTGTTTGCTTATTAATTTGGGAGAAAGCCAAAGCTTACAGATTCCACAGTGATTGCAATGATGTCTGCTGGGCAGCTACTCTGAACTTTTTTATTCCCTTTTGAACATTCAGTGAAGACTTGAATGAAAACTGCAAATGGAAAATAGAATGACAAGGTGCTCCCTCTGGAATCATCTGCCAGAATGCTACCTAGAAATGTCTGCAAAATTAAAGACTTTAGTAGTGCTCTTGGCAGTGTTAGATCAAAATTAACATAACTAAGCAAACCTTTCCCAAGGATCAGGAAGCCATACAATATTATGTATATAACTTCTCATTAGGACCACATATGACTGTGTGCCAAAGTTTTAGCTTCAGAATTCTATTTTTGTTATGAATCTTTTTCACCTTTTTTTTGTCTTTTTAAAGCCCATTTCCTAAGCATGCTCCTGAGTTGTTTCCTTAAACTTTTGTTTAACTTCTTAGATAGAGAGGGAATGTGCTTTGTTTTAACAATCAAAAGCTATAATTTTTTCTAACAACCATTCTGAAAAGAGTGGAAATAAACACTCCAGAAACACGCACTGCTGTTGGCAGTATTTCAGTGTTTATTTCAATTGCTAGCAAATTAGTACAAAAGGAACGATAATGGTAGATAGGAGCAATATGGTGGAAGTATGTATAAAGAATTTTCAAGTCTAATAAAGATTAAACATTAAAAGTAGAGCAGAAGAGGAAAAAAAAAAAAAGGAAGAGAGCATAGGATCAGAAGTGAGTAAGGCTGATGCTTTGCTCCTGTACACTTCTCACTGTCTTTCAGGAAAGGTTGGGTTGCCAAACAAGAAGGCATCTTCCAGGTGTATCTTTTGAAAAGTCCACAAATTTTTCCAGGAGCTACTTACTTAGCAGATCCCACTCTTTGTGAAATCAACAGTTGATCTTCAGGAAAGGAGATATTTCAGTTCTATACAAAAACTGTTTTGGCAGTGAGCAGTAGGTGTGGGGTTTGTTGAAGCTTATGAAGTGTAACTTCAGTCTGCAGAGATGTGTATATAAAACAAGACAGAATAGTTGCAGTGCTCCTTGAAAGTAACACTTCTATTGTACCATTATCACTACTGTACATTTTATGACTTTATTAAAGACACCTTGGCCAGACATACACATGGAAAAAAAAATCTTCCCTTTTCCCACAGTTGCACCAAAATACACCAGTGTTCAAATATTTCAAAAGGAGTAGACTCTTTGGAGCAGGGGATGAATGAAAAAAAAACTTGCACTGAGTTTCCAGGCGATTGACAGAACAAGGCTGTTGTAGTGATTTTCAGTGAGGACTGCCAAAGCAAGTTTGAGATAGAGGACTGAGATCCTTTCCTGCCAACCTGAATGTTTTGGTTGAAAGAATTAATCGGTGGTATTTTGAGAAAACAGTTGTAGCAGCTTGTATGTCAAGAAGGGTCTGTTCCTTTGTAACAGAGTAGAGAGTAATCCAAGAAAACCCATGAGTGGTGACCAACACTAGCAAGAGCAGGTGGAGAAAATGTCTTTAAATTTAAACTCCATGAATAGCTAATGAATTATCCTTCTGGATCATCATATTTATGTTGATTTCAGAGGGTGATGAACTGGTAGTTCCTGAGACATCAGATAACAGCCGGAAGCAAATGGTTCGAAACATCAACAACAAGCGCCGCTACTCATTCAGAGTACCAGAGGAGGAGAGGATGCAGCAGAGGAGGTCTGTATTCAGCATGTACTTGTCTTCTGTACAGGCCTGTAGGCCCTGAAGAGCAGTGACTGATGCCAATGTAATACTTCATTTGTCGCTTTCTGGAATGCCCATTCAGATGTTTCTGTCTCTTCACTACCGTGTTAATCCTCATTGTTTAATTTGTGTTAATACCAGTTTGGATATGGATATGCACTGGATACACAAGTATCATTAGTTCAAATTAATTATGTGAAGCAGTTGTTATTTGGAATGCCTGTCTTCATGTACTGTATATAGGTACAGAGGTGTACACATATACTGTATATATAAAAACCTGTAATAAACACTTTTCAAAAGGAGATTACTTTGCTAACTATGCATATGGATTAATTACTTTCAGACTCTGGTTCTGCTTTTCTTTCTGAAGGGAATTCTACTCTCAGCAGTATTCCAAGGCATCTGCTTTTTTGATTTATAGATTTAACTACATAAAAATTCTAAACATCTCGGAAAACTCACCTCTTCAGAGGACATAGAACTTCAAGATGTGTTTCTAATAGAAGCCTTTAACAGGTCACAAATACTTTCCTAAATGGCAATAGAAATAGGTCTGCACTGCTCACAGTATTCACAGAGGATGTTACTGACCATTTACTATCACTCAGTAAAGATTACCTGCTCCTGTGCTAAGCTACACTCTAAGAACTGAGCATTTCAGTTTTCTAACTTCCAGTGTCTTCCACCAATCCCTGGCTCCCAGCTTTCCTTTTATTTTGACTCTAAGAAAAGTAACAGCTGTGTACAGTGGAGATAAAATTCCAGTTGTTGTCCTTGCCTTTTCTGAGCTGATCATGGTGTGGTCTTTCAAAACGTTATTTATTCTGAGTTCTGAAATACATCCTTGCCATTTCGAAGAGCTTTTAATTCTGACCACAGGCTGAGAAAGGTACTGCAGTATTATTTTAATTCTATTTTCATATTTTGTACTTCATTTTCATCTCCACTTTGTAATACATCACAAATGAGTTCTGTTTTTACTCATCTTACAGAGCTTTTTGTCAGCTCATGTGTGTTCTTTGAATGCTAGTAACTACTGGGCATGGGCTGTTAGCCTGCAAACAGCATTCTTCTTTTCTCGCCCCTTGCCCTCTCTTCAGGCAGGAAGCTTGTCCATGCCAGTGCTCATAGGAAGGGCTTATCACTATTAACATGGTTAAATAGTTAATTTCCATTTTAAACTAGCTGATAATGAGAACTGCACATGTTTTGTAAATGTCCATCTTCGCTTTGAACACAATATCTAAATGAATTATTTTCTCTTCCAGGGAGATGCTACGTGATCCGGAAATGAGAAATAAATTAATTTCTAACCCAACTAATTTTAACCACATAGCACATATGGGTCCAGGAGATGGTATACAGATTCTCAAAGACCTTCCAATGGTAAGTACAAAAGTACCCGTGTGAGGGACCGACTGCAACGGAAGCTGCAAATAAGTGAAAAACAAGTACAATTTTAAATACATAGTGAGAGTGTTGACATATTTTGTATCAGGAGCAGTGTAACCAGGGAAATGGAGCTGAACATGCTCTGCCGTATGTGGTAAAATCTAAACAAAGAGGGTGAAAGTTAAACATCAAGGACGGGAGGAGGAGGAGTGGCTAATGCCTCCTGGTTTTAAGGCAGGTAGGCCTCTCAGTGTTGCTGATAATTTTTATGACCTTCTCTCTTAGCCTCTCTCTTTACAGCCTCTTTTCCTCAGACAGTAGAGCTGTAGCAGTTTAACAGTGTGTAGTGCCCAACTTTCTCTCCATGCGAAAGACGCTAGTTTTTATTTTCTCTACAAACTAGGCTCAATGAAGCAGAACTTCTTACATAAAAACTAACCTTTTAAGTTGAAAAATGGGAAAAGAAAACATGTAATAGAACACAAATACTTGTTTCCACAAAACTTTACATGGGAAATACCTGAAAGTTACTGAAATTTTTGCTGAGCTGAAAACAGTATTTTGTTCATAGGAGAGTGTTGTACTGCCTGCTTCAAGCTACCTCAAGCATCTTGTTTGTGTGTTCTGTATTGTTTTCTAAACTCATCCACAATGACACAGATGTGGTTCAGAAGATGCTAATTAGCACTGTAAGAAAGATCAGATGGTACACCATTGAGCAGACTGTATGAGCACCACCATAAGATATAGGCAGTAGTACGCACATGCTGTCGAAAATGATCATTATTAGTTTGAGTTTGTGCAGAAAGCAGGAAGTAGATGCTGAAATTGGGATTTTTCAGGTGCTGAAAAGCCCAGAGGAAATAACAGTAAGACTGGAAAATAGTGTGCCATGCAGTTGCACTGGTTTAGAAGCTTAGGAGCACAACCTCTGGTCTTCAGATACTCCTTCTACCTCACTTCTGCAGCAAATGATACTTTTATTTACACTATGCTGTGAAGTCTGCACGTTGTACATGAGCCCTTCTGGCATTGTGTTTTTCTTAGATGAGCATATGCAAGGAAAGGGAAGGATTTACTTTAAGTCTCGTGCTAGAGACATTCTGAGAAACTACTTAATAACAAGTAGATTCATCACAACTGAGCCAAACCCAACATGGTGTGCATATCTTTATAAATTAGTAAATAATGAAGGAGCTGCTTCTACAAAACACATGAAAAATCCAAGGGAAGTTGGCAGGTAGTGTTTGTCTTACCTGGATGTGAGTATGCATATGTCTGATGTTAAAGAATGATAACTTGCTTCAGGGCAGGATATAGATTAAAACCTTTCTTCACTTTTCCATTCTGGTGGGTTCTTAAAAAAATCTCTGGCTATTGCTAAAGGTAGGACAAAAGATGTTCTATTTCACACCATCAGTAGTTGAACATTCATGGGAACCAAATGCTGCAAGAACTCCTAATCAAGCCCCAGACTGGGCAAGTATAAAATGAGGAGTGATTTAATCTCTAGAAGGTGATTTTGTAGACTTAAATGGATTAATATTTCTTCATCTATGTCATCTCTAAATGGCTTTTAGCTTTGAATTAATTCTAATTATGCAAGTCTCGTGTTAGCTCAAAGGTCAGACTTGAAGTTAGAACTGTTGCTTTGCTTCTTACCAATCAATATGTTGGTTTGTAAGAAATTCATGAGTTACCTTCCACACATAGGAGTAATGAGTAGACATTAAAAAAATGTGTACAATACAGAATTGATTTCTGCACTTGTTCCAATGCTGCAGATTCTTTTTAAAGTTACTATTAAAAGCTTAATTTTGGCAAGTAGGGATCAATCTTAATGCTGGGAGATGTCACTGCAGATAGAGCAGATTTGACACGTATTTTTCCAGCTGCATCTTGCAGTATTGTATTGTATTTGTATTCCTAACTTAATAGATAAAGAACTGCATCAGTCACAGGACTTATAAGTGTGCGAATTTGAAAGTTTGAGATAAATAAAAGCTCTGTCAAGAGCTACTTCAGTCCAGGCAGTTTTTATCTTTTCCACCAGCATTCTGTAAGGTGTTTGGCTCAACTAAGTTTTCATTTAGTGTGTTCCAAAATACCTACTTTGTTCCTCTGGCACAAAAAGTAAAAGAAAAGGAGTTGTGTGTGCATATGATGTTATGTATCAAGTCTAATATTTTGTTTGAAAAATAAATATAAAATTAAAAGAGAGGATGGAAATAAGGGACATTTCCTGGAGAATCAGTACACAAGGTAAAGAATATACATCAAGCCCTCTGTGCAGTTCATCTGTATGGTGGTTTCTTTACAAAGCCGTAGAATTACTTCACTAGACTCGTAGCTTGTTCCAAAAAAGGTGGAGAGCTGTTTTTTTCTGTGCTTCTGTAGCATGTGTGGATTTTGCAGATGAAACATCTTCTTTGTATTTTGAAATAGATTAGTATGTTTCAGAAGAAAAGGTGTTTATTTGTAAAGAACTATGGGAAAGATTGTATCATTTTACTTTGCAAATGCTTGTTTCTGTTTCTGAAAACAGATGACAAAATGTATTTTTGCATTTTAATAAGGCTACCACTAGGGGGAACAAGCAGTGCAAGGCTAATAATTCTCTCAAATTTTCAACTACTTTAAATGATACAGCTGCTTTTTTTTTTTTTTAATGAGATTCTGAAACGCAGAAAACGTATGAAAGAATGGAGTAGGCCTTTTTGCTTGCAGTTTCTTCCAACTTCAGTCATTTCAAATTTGGCCAGATCTACTGATAGAAATTTGTTCATCCAGCATGAGCTTTTGCTGAAGTCAGTATGGTGCCATGTAGGCAGAAGGGTCCTTAGTAATAAATAGGTTTTAATAGAGAATAGCTATTTAGATCGCTGTGTTGGCACAAACTAAATCAGAGAGCTCTAGCATCCACGGATGAGCTTTGTAAAGCAAATGGTAATTTTCATCCATGTATGTGTTTGTGACTATATACATATTCAATTTATACAGGCAGTGTGAATCCAATCAAAACTTATCTGCAGTCCCACTAACCTGGCCCTGCTGCCTTTTTCAGGAGAAATGCCTAAACTGAACAAAGCACAGGATTAGAACTGGTAGCAATGGCCCTTGCGCGGCTGGGTTGCGGCTTGTGGGTGGGCAGGAGAGGACATACACTTGTGCTGCCTTAACCCGTGGTGTAGCCGCCTGGTGGAGGCAGAGACAACAGGAGCTTGCTTGCTCTCTGCCTACTACTGTTATTAATAATATCTTTTAAAAGGCCAGCTTTAGTGAGTTCAATTTGTGCTGTAAACGTACAAAATGAAAACTGGATAAATGGAATGTTTCAAACTCTTTCAGGCTACTTGATAGGTTGTTTCAGATGCGTACATATGTACAACAGTGTCTGCCCTAGCTGATACAACCACACAAGGGGTGAAGAAGCTTCCTCTGTGCATTGTTTCCAAGGCTTTGGTGTGCAGCAGACACATGACATGAACAGGGAGATATGGTTATGGCAGATTGCAGTCCCAGGTTCTCTCCGTGAACAAGCACCCTTGACTTCAGCATTGCCCTCTGTTTGGTCAGAAATAAACATGCCCAAGGCTCAGAGTGAGATCAGATTTAAGAGAGAAAATATTAGAGATTAATTGTAAATTTGCATCCTTTTCTTCATGGCAAGCAATTACTCTGAGGTCTGGCTTTGACAAGCACGTTCATGGGCTACAGCACAACAGAAACCAGAAGTTCTTGTTTGCTATTAACAGAGCCACAATCAGTATATATTTGTATTTTATTGATGTGGATGCTAGATCTGGTTCATTTTGTCTTGTTTTGTACGATTTAGCATCATTCCTGTTAGTATATCCCCAGACTTATTTGTTTACATGTTTTTCTTCCCTAGCAGCCTGTCACCAATTAACTGGCCGTACAGTCTGGCCTCCCTTCTGCCCTCTTGTCCCTTGAAGCCACTTTATCGTGGATGCTCCTTTGTAGTGAAGATCTGAAATCTGGAACTGCACTTACTGCAGCACAGACCACCTCTCTGTGTACATCAGATGTACAGGATTGATTTTGCTTTCATATTCTGCATGCCTAAATATTTTATATTCAAAAGCTGGTCTCAACTGCCATTATATTTGAACATTATGCTTCAGTTTGACCTCATTACACATGAGCCATTATACTTCCATTCTAGATGATATGTGAAGCTTTGCTTGTTTCAAATGAGAAACTTTTACAGTAAATGAGTACTTACCCATATTTGGTATTCTTTAAAGAAAATGGGAACCCCATGCATGCATCTAATGGTGGAGTCCATGGAGAAGGTTCCATGGAGGATTATTTTGAAACTGTTGCCATATCATGGCTTTCTCACATTCATGAATGCTGACTAAATATTTTCACGGTCTGCAGCAGGCCTACCCTCTGCTTTTCAGCTTGTGATTTTTTTCTCCCTTATTGCCTTTTCTCCCATATTGGCTTTTAGGAGTGTAGCTAGCTTTGCTGCCAGTTGTCTGCTGAGAGCAGGTAACTCAGCAAAGTCTGCTTTCCTGGACCGTTCTTGGAATGGTGGCTTCTTGTTCAGATATTTAGATGCTGCTAAACTTAGTAATAACAATTTTGTGTATGTTATGTCTTATATGCCATAATGTGGTAATTGATGTTTTGGTTAACATGCAAAGCCTCATAATAACTGTGTGTTTAAAAAAAAAAAAAAAAAAAAGTTGAATTTTACCAGCTGTAATGATGAGAACAGTAACAATAATGTTTGATAATATGTATTGGGATGTGACAATGTTCTTCCAGACTTTAATACGTTCCACATACAAAAAGTAGTGCCTTAGGTTTAGCAGAGGGGTAAGCTGTATTTTTACCATATTTTATTTTTTTAAGTCCTAACATTTCTAATATTACTCAGACCTGTTTGTTTTACTGTGATTAAGTCAGTTGGACAAGGGGAAGAGAAAATTACAAGTCAGTAAGTAGAAAAGGTGTTCTCTTTT